CTGATTTATGTGGAGCTCAAGAGCCCTGTGGGAAAGAACTTGAACCTGTCCAGGGTGGAGATTTGGACAAATACAGACAGACATGTCTGATGAATTGGGGGCAAGAAAACAGAGGACACCAGATAACAGAGAGGGAACAGGGCACCAGAAGGGACAATCACTGTAAGGTAGATGGAGCTGGGCACAGTGTGCCTGACCTAGGGACAGGTGTCATGGCAGAACCAGGGTACACAGTGACCTTGTATATTCCTGGTCAATAAACATGGAGGCCATCATAGATCTTTAAGTTTACCCAGAACTTTTAACCAGATTGGTTATTTTCTTTGTACTACTTATAAATGTTGAAGTGTGGTATGATCATATGAAAGATGTCATTTCTCAGAAGGCAGTAACAGGAACTTTAAAATATTATTTGATTATACGGTTGTCCTGTTTCGATCCGTAGCTGGTTGAATCCTCCGATGTGGAACCTGTGGATATGGTTTCATTCAACTCTTTATCTTCTCATAAAGTTCCTCCTCCAAATCAACTTCTTTTCTCTTACTACTTAATATGGCTACTAGTTCTTAATAAGCTGATCAAGAGCTTTGGTGTTTATGTGGTTCACAAGGCTCTTTCCAGGAGCCGTGAGGTGCTGGCAGGGACCTTCGGCAGTGAGCCGTGTGGCTCCAGGGAGCAGATGAAGGCAACGGGCTCCTTGGCGGGCTCCGTTCAGAGAGCCGGCTGGGCTTATTCATGCATGAGCTGTGCGGGGCCTGGCATGGTCATTCATGGAAGCCCCAGAAAAGCCTCACCAAGCCAAAGACGTCCCCACTGCGGGTCATAGAGGCTAAAGTTACGCCACAGTAGAGAGACACAGTCATCACTGGCTTCAGACATTGAGCCTCTGAATGGCTTTCATTAAAATGCATTTAAGGTAACACTTTTAAATATTACCAGCTCTTAGGCACATTACAATTTATTTTTTTTCTGGTATGTTAGCAACTGGTGACTTTTAAAGGGGAAAAAAATTAAAAGGCAAGGGGAAAAATTTCAAGTGTCCCCTGGAGAAGGTATGAAGTGTGGCTCTGTGAGCTTGTGGTTGGGTAGACTCCCAAAGGGAAGACTCCCGATGGTCAGGAATTGCTTTGAGCTGACAAGAGGACAATTGAGCAGAGATCTACATGCAATTAATGCATGAGCTATGCAGATATCTGGAGAAAAGGCATTCCAGCAGAAGGGACAGCAGGAATATGCCTGGTAGGTTAGACTAAGGGTGAAGAGATTGGTTGGCTGGAAGAGAGGAAGCAAGAAGGACAGTGGTTGGAGGTTGGGGGTGACAAGACGGGGTTGGAAGGCAATGGTATCAACTTTGGATTTTAGTATGAGTGACATAGGAAATAGTCGGAGGGTACTGTGCAGAGAAGTGACATGATCTGACTTTTATATAAGATCATTCTATTGCTGTAGGGAAGCTGGGAGGTGAAGTTAGAAGGTGTTATGGGTTGAATTGTGTTCCCCTCAAATATGTTGAAATCCTAACCCCAGTACCTGTGAATAGAACCTTATTTGGAAGAGGAGTCTTTGTACATGATCAAATTAAGATCGGGTGATTAGGGTAGGCCCTAAATCTGATATGACTGATATTGTTACAAAAAGAGAAAAACACCAGTGAGGACAGAGGCAGAGGTTGGAGGGATGCAGTTCCAAGACAAGGAACGCCAAGAATTGACAGCTGCCATCAGAAGCTAGAAAAGGCATGAAGGGTCCTCCGCTGGAGCCTTTAGACAGAGCACAGCCCTGCTAGCACCTTGATTTTGGACTTCTGGCCTCCAGAACTGTGAGACAATAAATTTCTGTTGTTTAAACCACCCAGCTGTGGTACTTTGTAACAACAGCTTTAGGAAACTAATGCAGAAGACCACTGCCATCACTCAGCTACCCATTGTTACACGTTAAAACCTTAGACAAGTTTACATTTTAATTTAGTTTATTTGAACGAAGCAAAGCAGATTAGTGAATGGGTCAGCCCTTCCAACCAGAGCAGGTTCGGAAAACTCCAATCAATAACATGATCTGACAGTACTTATAGGAAACAAAGTGCAATCTAGAGACAACTTAACTGATTACATCTGAAGTGGTTGTTTACCGAGCCCTACTGCAGTTAACTAAAGCTCAGCTACTGTAGTTAAACTCCATAACGGTTTGGTTTGTTAGGCTATTCAGGGGCCTCGTCCAAATCAATGGCCTCTAACAAGTTTATTTAACGTCATCATGGCTTCAAATAAGGTGTCAACGGAGGTGTGAACTAAAATAAAATCTTAAGGCTCACCTCCACCGGCTGACTGAATGGACCCCCTCCTGGCCAAGGGGATATCCTAACAGTAAATTGCCTGCCACGATAAGGGAGGTCAGACAGGCCTCATCATGCCCTACTACCTTCCTGGAGACATCCTTTGTAACCCATTAACAGGCTTAAGGCTATGCAAGACAAACCTGCAGGTGCTCAATTTACACAACAAATCTGTGTCTGGTGGCTTATCTCTGATAAACAGCTCCTTATGTTGAAACATTCCAAGCTTTTAGACAAAGTTTCAAGTCTTTATCAATTACAAGTCAAAGAATCTTTAAG